GTTGTCGCGAGTTTACGCCGAATTCGTTTGCCACGTTTTTCGTAATTTTTCTCGCCGCCGGTGATTCGAAATTCCTGCGACTTCGTTAAAAAAATATCGAAGCTCGAACCTTCCACTTTCGCGTGGCACGGGCGATTTTTAGTCGGAGGTGCGAGCCCGAGGTAGCCGCAGAAACAGGCACACGCGACGTTTACTTTCGCGCGAATGTCGCGCTGGGCGAGGTACGCGCGGGTACCGAGGGAGAGAGTTAAAGGAAGACTACAACAAAGCCTCGAGCAGGTAAACGAGGGGGCAGGAATTTAAGAGGGGAGAGTCTCCGCTCGACGCGGTCGCGGGGAGGCTAATAAATTATCCCAGACGCCGCAACAACTGGTCGATTATTTATTTACCAATAAAAGGAGTCGCAGGGAATCGAACCTGCGTCCAACACTCGAGAGTCATCGATTCCCTTTGAAAACGCGATGCATCGCCTTCGCGGTTGCACGTTCGAATCACGCTGTACACGAGGTTACGATCGAGCAACGCCGATGAAAACGAGAGTAAGAGTAGGGAGGGTCGATCGGAGTCATTGTTGTTTCGCGCAGCTACCGAATTGCCGAGGTCCTACCGCAGTCCGAGCACTTCAAACGTTAAGATATAAAGCGAATGAAACGAAACAATTTGAAACTTGATCGATGTTGTAACGCATGGTTCCCAGATCCGCAGAACGATCGAGGTCTAGAAGCATCCCTTATTCGGAACAAGGGCCAGGCCAGCGTGCTCGCCCGCCTGTCGTTGACACCGCGAATTTTTCTCGCTCGGGAACGGCCGCGGCGATAAACCGCGTTGTCACCTAAATCTCGGATTTAACGATCCCAGGGACATCGATCCTCTCTCCCTCTCGATCGTCACCGATGCTCGTCGGCCGGCGAAATTAAGTAACAAAACGGACGAGCCGCGTTTGTCCAACGATCCCCGGTTTTTCCGGCTCGGAATCGAGGCGGGCGAGCGAGAGTCGCGTCGACGATTATAAACCGAGAATTTACGAGCCGGACGGAGAAGACGACGTCCGCGGCGGACGAAGATCTCGCGGATTTCTTTCTTTCCCGGCCGCTATCTTCGCGCCGAGTCGCGGCCGTGCAGAGTCGCGCCGCGCCGAGCCGATCCGCGCCGGTCTTGTACCGTCTCGAGACTTTGTTGCCGGCCAGAGGGTTTTATCGCCGCCGCCGTTTTAACTGTCCTCTCGCGGGAAAGGGGCCTCGGCGACCGGAGGTCCTTCATCTCGCGACCTTCGCTCGATTACGAGCCAGCCTCGATCGGTCCGTTCCTCTCTTTCAACGGTCCGCGGATAGGAGGAACCGTCCTCCGGTAGCCAGGATCGGGGAAACGGTTGCGGAGACGCCGAGAACGCTTTCCGGTGCGGCAAAAATGCGCGAAGCGTGCCTTCCGCTTGGCAAAATCCGCCCGTTGAAAAACTCGCTCGCGATCTAAACGTCTAAATCGTTAACGAACGCTATCTCTGATTCGACGAAGCGCGCGACGAAAGAGAAACGTGACGGCTCGAAGAACGCGTCGATCCCGCAAAAATCCGGCTAAGAGAAAACGAGCATCGTCGGGAAAAAGCAAATTGCATTCTCGCGAGATTAGCGAACACGGACGCGGCGTCGCCGGCCATTCGATTATTCCTCCGTCGATTCTCTCCGATGGGATTATTTATTCGCATGGAAAACCGTAGGCTACGATCGACCGATGGAACGCGAGGGGACCGACGCACGAGAAGGCGAACCAAGGGGGCGAGGAGGAGGCGCAAAGAAACTTGACCTACCGCAGTTTTAACTACCGTTCAATTATACAGTTTGCTTTCGGGTCGTCGCGCGGCCGAATAAACCGTGTAATTTACCGGCAATAAAAGACCGAGTGGTAACGGCCACTAGAGAGAGCACGCGAAGACGGTTCGAGGAGGATAGAGGGAGGATTGTGTGTCGTTAACGACGCCGTTTACTGCCGCGAGGAACGAATATTTTGTTACAACTCTCTCTCTCCCTCTCTTTCTCGGTCGCTTTCTCGCTCGCTCTCTCCACCGCGGGACGCGATTTCAAGCGAAATCGCGCCTCGACCGATCGCGGCACGCTCCGCGGCCACGATCGGGCCCCTGTTCGGCCGCTCGCGGAGCTCCGAGTCGTCGTAGGAAGCGAACGTCCGCCTCGCGCGAGTCGTCGACATTAAAGAATCCCGTTTCGAAAGCGTCGTCGGACGCCCGGCGAGCGCGAAAGCTCCGATAATTGGCCCTCGAGCGAGACCCTGCGGAGAAACGAGCCTAATCGCGAGACCGCCGCGTCGGAGTGACGGACTTCGTACGACCTTTCGCCGCGGGACGCTCGGAATTAGGTGTAAATCGAGGAATAAACCCGCGATCGTCGGCCTCGTGCTTGGAAATTACAGAGTTCCGAAGATTCTTGTACGCGAATAAAATCTTTGGGAAGAGATCGCAACATCGAATTCACGGAAACGACGAGGACGGTGCGCGAACCCCGAAGAAGAATAGAGTCGGGAACGAAGCGGCCCCTGTTTTGGCCGGCTGGCTCCGAGACCGACTTCCGACTGTGTCCACTCGGTTCCCGTTGACGTCTTGTTACGGCAACGTGTTATTTAGGAGCGAGGAACGAGCGGACTCGCACTTCCGTCGGGGCCCAGCGAGAGACGGAAACAGAGATATATCGGGCCGAGACGAGAGAGCTCGTTCGCCGTCTAGATTACTTCGAACGAGACCGACCGAGAGAGCCGGACGACCGTATGCCGCAGACTGGTTATTAACGCGTCCACCTAACGAGGACGGGCCTCGATCGAGCCTGGAACGGGTCTCGGACGCCGCTGCGAAACTCGGGACGGAGAATACCTTGGCCGGCTGCACTCGTTCAAACGGATAATCGCGACGATAATCGTCGGACCGATCAAATTGGGCGTCCGGGGATATATCGAATGCCCGGCGTGCTCCGCGCCCGGACGATTTCCATCGGCGCGGATATTTATTTGGAAAATATTCGGTCAAATCGTCGGCGACGAGCGACAAACTTCTCGGAGAATTTCCGATCGTACGAATTATTTTGCAGCGGTCGCAACGAACAAAGATGGAAACGTGGGCGTGCATGGAAGACGGAGGAGCCGCCGCGCGGTGGAATTAGCAGTCGTTATCGACGGAGGAGGGTACTGGAAACGAAGAATTCACGAGTGCTTCGCGCAAGGGACATTCGAATAAAGATACGGCGCGAAACGATCTCGCGAACACCGATCGTACGTCGCCGATCGTAGGTGAATAGTTTCGATATCTCTCTGCGGAGAGGCGGCCGTGGCCTACGAGACGCCACGGTGGCCGTGTTCGCCGCTCCGACTCGCTCCGGAGATACGGCGAAGAGCGTTTTCGCGTTTCAAGATAATCCTTCCTTCCTTTCTTCCTTCCATCGGGAACAAAGAGAAAGAGAGAGAGGGAGAGAGCCCTTCGGGGATATCTCGCGGAGTTATTGCACGACTGTTCCGCTTAGAAACCATCGCGCGTCGACGATATCACCGAGCTTCGACTCGTTCCTTCCAACGATCTTCATTTTTCTGAGCTGGAAAAATCGAAGGGCGAAGAAACCTATGCTAAACATTCCTCTGCTTCTCTCTCTCTTTCTGCCTGTCCGCCTTTCTTTCGATTTCTCTTTCGCTCCTGCTCTCGAACGAATTCTTCCAGATGAGATTTGGCTCGCGAGCCGGATGGCCAGGGGATGGGTTGATCGATAGGCGCCGCGTGACTCTCCGATATTGCAGCCCGGCCGCCATTCCATTTTTCTAGTTATACAAATTTCTGTGGCGCGGAAGCCACCGAGGCAATATCGCGTTATGGATCGTAGATCCTCCTCGATCAGCGGCGCTGGCGCCCGACGGCATTGTCGTCGCGTCAAGAATGCGAGAATTTGTTCGCGTTGCCGAATGCATCTCCGCCTCTTCTAGTTTGTATTAAGGAATTTTATTTATCCTTATTCGAATTGAAGAAATAATTGTACGACGACGATTGTACAGCATTGATTACTTGTTCGATAATCGTACGTTTCGGGGATATTAATAAAGTTGAATTCCAACGGCTCGATAGATCGTGGCGCGGACGGGCGATCTCCGGTCTCCGGTCTCCGATCTCCGAATCGGCTCCGGGCCCCGAAGACGGCTGGATAAAGTTCCGCGGATAATCCCGAAGAAACCCGACGCCTGCTCGCGAGCACTAGTTTTAGTCGGCTCGCCGCTCCGGCTAGCTGCGATCTAATCTAATCCTATTTTCGTTAGATCCGTTAATGGTTAATGGGAGGCAAAGTGGTCAGCGACCGGAACAAGGCCTAAGTCCGTCTTAAATCCTGTAGGAGGGAAACCCTTGTAGCCCTTAGCCAAGGACCGTAATCCGCGCGGGATAACTATTGCCCTCTCCGCGTCTCCGTCTTTTCCAGTTCGCGCAGTCTGTCGGATCGTGGGACCGTTCGAAATCTTTCGTCGATCGAATCGACGTCGGTCGACGTTCGCTTCGTACAGGGTCGGTCGATTCGTCTTGCTTTGGACGACCGTTGGGGTACTCGAAGGGGTTAAGTATGCCGGTCTTTTCGCTTTCCGCTTTCCGCTTCCCGGACCGCAGACAATTCGAATACCGCGCGGAGAAGCATGCCCGCGGGAGAGGACAAACTTGCCGGTAGACGAGCGATCGTTACGCGCTTATAATATGCAAGGGAGGAAACAATAATATCGTTGTTTCTGGCCAGGGGAAGGAAATCACCCTGGCAGAACCCTACGAGAGCCTCGTGCAAATAACGGCCGGATCAATCGCGTGCCGGCCTCGAAAATTTATGAAACAACGCGCGAGAATCCGACATCGGTCGATCCCGATGGGCTGGAATCGAGACGGAGAAGTTGCAGGAAGATGCGGCAACTCCTACATTTGGCAACTCGAGCATCGTCCGCCTCGTCTGCGCGCGACCGTCCGTTTCTACTTGTCGCCTCACCTTCGCGTTCGGCTCGACAATCGTCCTCTTTCCATGCAGAAGCAACCCCCGCGCAGAGCCGTATTCTCGTCTCCGCTGGTTCCTGAAAAATACACGCATCTATTAGAATCTGTCCTATCAGAATTTATTCCACCGGTTCCATGGCGCAGCGATCGCAATTTCTTTTAAAGATCGATACGATTGCCCATTGTTTGGGCGGAACGAAAGATCGGGGAAAAAGGAGGTGAAAAGCACGCGTGGGCGCGCGTATCGCTGGACTCTGACGGAGGGCAGCGGGGCGCGTAACACGAAAGCCGCATTATACTATTCAAACGATTGCGGGGAGCACGGTGCGCTCGGCTAAGTTGACATTGTTGTTTCTGAGGGTGGCCCCGGGGCCCGGCGAATATCTTAGCGCCGCGCAGAAGCTGTACACGCGTACGCGACGTCCTCGTCCTCGTCCTCGTCCTCATCCTCGTCCTCGTCCTCTCGTCACCGTCGTCGTGCAAGCCCTCCGGGGATGCGAACGGCACGGCCGTTCTGCCACCGCCGCCTCCCGTCTTCCTGCCACCATACACTAATCAATAACCATGAATCGCTCCGGTAACAGTGGCATGCACGTTCCGTTGCACCGTTATTGTTGCCGGCCCCGGAGTGCTCGGGCTACCGTGAATATTATTATCGGCGAGGATCCTAGGTCCGATCCCGCCTCGCGATACCGCTCCGCGTTTCACCCTATGAACCCTCGCCACCGAGTGCCGCGCCAAATATACCTGCGACTGCGACTGCGACTGCGGCAGCTGGGTCCCATCGCACCTCCCTCCTTCGATCCTTTTCGCGATGCGAATCGTCTGCAGCGTCGATAGGTGCGATTTCGGTGCTTATCGCGGTAGAAGGGATAACGATGCGCCGCTATCAACAGCCCCTCCTCCTCCGTCGACCTTTGTGCGATATTAAAGTTGTCTCGGTCACAATTTTCTAAGCCGATTTGTAGGAACATTTCTGTGGGAAATAAAACTGTTTTTAAGGCAGGTGCAAAGAGATTATTGTAAAATAAATATTTTCTCTTTTACTTTCCTGTTACCGTTGCAACGTTCGGCTACTAATTTTTCAAATAATTATCAAGAAATGCTAGCGGATAAAACGATGAATCGCGTTCAACTTCGCATCGACGAGGACAACTAGCTGCAATTATTATTCGTTCAATCTAAAATCAAGGGCGATAGGGCGAAAGGGTGAAGGAATAAGACGCGCGGGGAACGATGTAATCGCCGAGCCCGCGTCGATTCGAAGGGATGCCTATCCGTGTACGACGATCTCTAATAAAGTTCAATTATCTCCGGAAACGTTAGGCACACCGAGGGAAAGGTGGAGAAAGGTGGACCTCGAAACAGGGTTTTTCGTGGTGGCGCGGGACGAGCGAGGGGGTGAAGAGAGGTTAGGGGATAGGGAGAAGCGGGTCGTCGGACGCCCTAAAGTCGAGCATAGAGAGACGAGAGAAAGAGAAACCGGGAGAGATGATAATCTAAACGATCGCAAAGTGGGCTGCAGAAACGCGCCGAAATTGGCAATAACGGGGCGGACGGGGGGTGGAGGCAGAGGGGGAGGAAACGGGTGGAGCCGGGGCAGGAAAGGGGCGGCCGCGTAACGTATACGCCGCATACGCTCTTTCTCTCTCTAGATCGCGCGCGCGCGCTCTCTCCGCTCCGCACCGCTCCGGTGCGAACTTCCTATTCTGGTTAGCATTCAAATTGAATCTTCGTGGCGGCCGGTCGTGAAGAGTTACCACCGTTAATGGACCTCGCAAACGCTCTCAAATTGCCGGCAGACTGCCGAGAAGACGCGGCCCTCCACCTAATCTACCGGAGCTTGATCCGCGCCTCCCTCTTCCCCCGTAACCCCCAAAATTTTCCGAATCGTTCGCAGCGCGCGGCGTTCGCGCGCGAAGAAAACTGAACGATTGTTTCGACTCTGTTCCGTTTGTAGTCGAATTTTTTCCAATTTGGGAAACGAATCGATCGAATCATAAAGACGGTGCAAGACTCCGTTTGTTCGAATAATTACGCGATCGATACGGAACGACGGCAACGACAGTTCTCCGCGAAGTCTGTTTCGAATCGAACGAATTTATTGGGTTTCCGGAATCGTTACGCGTTTCTGCGGAATATCCGAAAATTGGCGACGATCTAACGAGCAGCTTATCGGTCGATGAGCCGCGAGACGCGCGTTACGAGCCGCGCGGCTCATTGGCCGCGGTAATTCGAGAGCCAGACGAGCGGAAGGGGAGGATTCCACCCTCGAAGAATCCACCCCCGTTTCTTTTCTTCCGTTAAAACGAATTAGCCTGCTTGATTTAGGAGCCGAACGCGTTTTGCCGCCCGGTGGAGCTGTTCTCGGAGAACGAACGGTGCCCGGAACTGTTCTTCCTTGATCGGGGGATGTTCCAACCCTTTCGCGTCGCCAGGAAGTCTTACGACGATGCCATAAAAGACTGTAACGAACGACGCGATATTTGTGATTCCGTTATATACGAAAGAAGATCATGTGGATGGATAATTTATGTCTTCGCGTGAATTTGACGCGACAAGAGAATATCCGCGTTGTGGCAAGATTGGAAAGCGATTCGAACGGCTCTTAAATCGTTTTGAAAAACTGGAAGGTAAAAGGGAAAACTTCCAACGTAGAACCCGTGAACTGTGAACTGCGGAGACTTTTGAATGTCGTGTCTCTAGAGAGGGCAAGATCGAAGTACGAAAGTAGCCGGTATAGTTAGCCGCCACCCTCGAGCAGAGATTCGAAATGGCTAATTCGCCGCGGCTCGTCGTCCCCGGGGGACCGGGGAAACGGGGGGACAGGGGCCCTCGAAGATGAAGAAAGGTGGCCGAGGAGACAAGCTACGAGAGACGGGCTCTACACGCGGTCGAATCTCTGCTTCTCGATGTAATTCTATTAGAGCTAACTACGCGAGTCCGCTCGTCGTCCGTTGGATTTAATCACGGAGCCACTCGACCGTGCGATATTCCCCTGCACCCTCCAGCCACGTCTTGCGAATTGAGTGCCGCGGGATCTTTGGAGGCGCGGAGCGGTGCGGTGCGGTGCGGCGCGAGATTAACCCCCTTTGGGGCACACGCGTTTTCGACGACTCACTCGCATATGTTTTTCCTATGCCACGCCACGGGGCGAAATGTCTAGCAGAACGCCGATCGATCGCTATGTTATCGCAATAACAACGTTACGCGCATAGCACGCAAACGAGTATACGAAAGCGAAAGTTTTAATCAACCAATGACTCAACGTCGAAAGAGTTAAAATTCCTAAACGAATTTCTATTATAAACGATACATCGCTTCGAGATATATATTATTTACGATAGTGCCTTTAGAAAATCTGAGATTTTCCGAACAATTCGGAATCAATTTGCCCGCTAACGAAGAAGACCGTTGAAACGAAAGTTTGTTCTGTTTACAGCGGAGCTGAAGATGGACGTTCTGCGGGAGAGGGAAGTGAAAGACAGCCTCGAGCGTCAGCTCCAGGACGAGCAGAAAGTCCGAGGTGAGTAGAAAACCGGCGACTTCGTATCGGCTGTGCAGCTAGGCTAGAGAATCCCTCTGCGAGGCGACGGTGACGGCGACGATGACGGGGACGGGGACGGGTCGCTCGTTTAGGCGTCCGTATCCGCGATCGCGGATGAAATTCCACGAGCTCGGGTTTACGGACGACGGACGACGGACGCCTGTCCCCGATGGGGCGGATACTCTTTACGGCCTTTGGAAAATTGACTCGACTCGCCGCGCCTTGCAAACAAGCGTCCCGTTCCCTCTTCGAGATCCCTGGTCAGAGGATCCGCGACGCGCGACAATCGTCCGCGAGTAGCTGAGACCTATCCCGGACCTTCTGCAACGAGCGAGTTAACTCGACGATAAATCAGCGAGTCGCACCGACCGAGACGCGTTATAAACTCTCGGGAAACTCGTACCCTGTTATTCGCCCATCGATCGTGGTGCCCGTGGCGTACGGCGGGTCCTTCGACTACTCGAAAGTATTCTACGAAGTCGGCGACGATTTTTGAAAAACTAAGAATCGAACGAATTTGTCGTGAAACGTGAAATAGAGAAGACGCGAAATCGATGGGAATTGAGAAGCGAGCAAGGGATCGGCACAGAGGAAATCTCGACCGAACCCGGACCGGAGGGTCTGCGGAAGGGTTGCAAAGGGAATACAGGACCTAGAGAAAGGAAAAAGGAGCAACGCGGAGACCCTGATCGTTCCTTCCGACCAAGTTTGTATCGAATGTCAGTCCGTAATAGAATAGTCGACTCGCGTTTACGGGCTGCTTCTCTTTGACCACCTACTCGTCGATCCCGCGACACCCACTTCCCTTTGTCCGCTCGCGTTTCCTTTCTTCGTTCTCCTCGTTCTCCTCGGTCTCGTCGGTCCGCTCGTTCCCCTCGTTCCCCTCGTTCACCGCCGACAGAAACGAAGAAAGAGAGGAGATTTCGCTCCATTGTCCCTGGAATCGGGATCCTGAAAAAGATTCGAGAGATCGATTCCTCCGGTGATTCGTCGCCCTCGAAAATCTTTAAAAAATCCTGTTGCTCGAATCGCTACAGAAATTACTCGAGCACGAGTGTACGATAATACGGATCGGATAAAAATTTAGTAGATTCTTGCGAACCGGATAACGGTGCGGATGCAAGACCGAACTATGCGAAGATCGATATTTCTTATTAATAGACCGGGGATGTTAATGGAGCCACCGGTGTTTGCAAAATCCTAGAACGCCGCAGAGGTGCGGTAGAGAATTTAATCTCGATTTAATTCGATGTTTACGAACCGGAGAACTATTTCACGGTTGCTTGTCCATACAAAAAATGATTAAGAAGTAATTACGAATAAGCGTAAAAGTTTCTGCAAGTTTCTGTACTCGAATAATTACAATCGCGTTAATCCGGTGCATCGTAGAGCAGCTAATACGGTCTTTTAACTTCCCAATATAATGACAAAAACGACCGACGCGAACAGCCTTGCTGTAATAAATAAATAAATAAATAAATGCCGCTATCGCAAGACGTCAACGCGTCAGCGCCCAAACAATGAAACCCGAACCTTAATAACGTCCATTGTCCCCGCGGTATCCTAAAAATTCGCAAAGCTCGCCGCGGGTCCTCCGTAAACCCTTAAAATCCCCATGAATCGTTCTAATCTCCCCGGCCTCGATCGAAAAACCCAAAACATCGCGAACGAAATCGCATCTGAAACAGAAACGAATCAATCTCACCCGAGTATCCAGGTTGGCCATAATAAAAAAGAAAAATCGATGCTACGCCGAAAAAGGTGGTCGCGGCCGTGGTCGGGGTCGGGGTCGGGGTCGCGGGAGAACGGCGGGGGGAGGGGGGTATACGGTCCGGGCCAGGCAAATTCAATATCACGGATTTTCCCGGCAAAAGATGTCGGCGTCTCGGCTGACGCGAGCACAATGCGCGCCCCGATAAATATGTAAAAGTCGAGAAGACCGACGGGAATATCCGCGTGCCTCGGGAGGGGGGTGTTTTGCAGGGGTGAAACGGTTGGGCGCAGGTGCGCGGGGAGGGTGGCGAACCGGGCTCTGGCGATCGGTATATTGCACCCGGAATGAAAAACAAAAAAAAGAATAAAAAGAGAGTCGCTATCCTGCTGGCGCGGCGCGGCGTAGCGTGGCGTTGCCGATGACGATGGCGTCGATCGTCGTAGGACGAGCGGATTTTTTTCCTGCCCTCGTCCACACCCGCGCGCACCACCTCCTATACACAGAGGGAAAGGGGGAAGTCGACGCCGGGTACGGCGAACGGCGAACGGCGAACGGTGAACGCGCGTCGCGTTCGATTCGCAGGAAAAACGAGTTGGCCGGGGTTCGGCCCTCGCGGTAACACGAGCCTGTGACAACAGCAGTCCATTAGTCAACCAGCTCAGTGTCAATACATGAATATGACAGCCGGTCTCACGGAATAGCCCATCTATTCCCGACGCGCGGCTCGTCTTCGAACCCTACCCCTTAATGTCAACCGTTGGAGCGCCGCGATATCGCAAATATAGGAAATAGTCTTCTATCACCCCCGATGGGACTATGGAAACCTTTATCTTCCGATGGGAGAGTCCCCGCGCCACCCCCGCGCAGGCTGTTCCGAATAGCGCTCGACTTCCGAGTTGCCCTGTTTGCAAAACCGACGAAAACGCGAACTCGATTTCGATAAAGGCGAAAGAATATTGGAAAAGATAGAACTGCGTCTCGGAGAGGGGTTTCGTCGATCCGATCTGTATTCCGGATGAATTTTGGTCGAGGAACGTTTACGGACGATTCGCATGGAATCGGCGAGCGGGCACGTAAGACGATACCTAATTTGCGCGAGGCCTCCCGCGGTCCCGACCGGATGATCGATCATCCCGAGGATATTGACGCAAGCCCTCGTCCGAGACCACCGTCTTTCATTCGGCTAATGACCCACAAGGAAAGAAAAAGGCTGCCCCATGGGGTTATTCGGCGATGTCGCTTTCCCGCGCGCCTTTAATACATTAAGAAACCGAGCGCGTCCTGCCTGAAACCTCTCGCAGAAACATCCTTCGAACCCGTCGACAATAACCTGCCTAAAACGCACGACGTCGCTCATCGACCCCGGACGAATTTAGGGAGTTTCGACCGATCGTAAAAAATGATCGAAATAGGCGATGCACGCGCGACGAGTAGAGTTTCTGATTAAAAAATCCTTCGGACAGCCGAGCAATTTTTCAAAGGGTAGCTTCGAGAAGACGACGTTCCCGCGAGAAGGTTAAAATTGCTACGCGAAAGGAAGCCAAGGGTCGACTATGCAGGGAGGATCCTTGGTACCCGACGACGGTTCATCACCGTACAAATTCGTTCGGCGATGCGTCTCGCGGATCGTTAGGGTCGCGGGGTCGTTGTCAATTTTATAGTCGGCGGATCGTCTCGTACGCCGGTTTCAGAGGCAATTTGCGCAATAAGGAGAGACCGACCGGCGGGTGAGAGGGTGGCGGGCTCGACGGGGAGCGGTGTTATTAGCCCGTTTAAAGCCCCGCTTGGCATTTCGGTAAAGGTTGAAATCTCCGACCCCCCGCCGACTGCCGGGCCGTATTATCTTGGCAGGGGTTGCGAAGGAATCGGCGGCCGAGTTTCGCGTCGTCGCGGGCCAAAGGGTCTCTAATGGGACCCGCGATCTTCGAACAATGCCGGACGACCTTTGCCGACGATCGACTCCGCGACGACGCGCTCTCGCGATCGACGATCCATCCGAAATGTCGTTTCGTCTACCCTCGAACGACGCACCCCCCCCCCCCC